GCTGAAAAAAGAATTGAATCCCACGTTTTCCCTGAATTCCACTAACCAGCTAAAATAATAGTTCTTGCTGTCAAAACTCCTTGAAAGTAGAATGTGTTTTATTTTGGTGTTAAAATAGCTAAATTCTAAATAGTAAAACACTAGTATCCCTCCTTCCCTTTCTCCTTCAAGCCTCCTCTAGTTTATCAGCATTATAGAGAAAAAAGCCAGCCCTCTAACCATGCAAGCCTGTTTTGGTGATGTTTGAATATAGTTTTAAATATAAAATGCATTTTGCTATTCAGAATTTAAAGAGAAGTTTGGTACTGTGGTAGGTGAATGTATCTACTGCACCTTTAAGGGACCTTTCTTGTTCTCTCTTATGGTCCTGAAGTATTTGGCCTTATGGGGGGTGACATGGATGTGGCCATGTCTTTCTCTTTAGTGCTGGAAGAAGAAACAGTCATATAAGAGGTTCCAGGCACTGCCTTGGGTTTGTCTCTCCCTGTGTCCTGGTTACGCTATGTTCAGTCCATAGTTCTCATCCTCTGCCTTCCTGCTGCGTTTCTCTTTCTGTTAAGAAAGTGGAGGGTGTGGAGGTCAATTCTTCATCCACGCAGGTAGAAACTACTGTCCCAGGAGAATGTATACTTGGCATCAGTTGACATCAGTTGTTTCCCCCTGCAGCTACTGCTTCCATCTGAACAAGTGTACATATGGAGAGGATACTGGGAGATGCGGAAAAGAAGTAAGGATGTGTCGTGCTTCCTTCCTTCCCCTCTATGGTGACTGTGTCAGCTCTTTGGTAGCCGTTACTGGAGTATTCCAGATCCTACAGTTTATCCCCCTGTTTTCATTGTATTGCAATGGCCTTCTAGTGCCAGAATTTTATTTTTTAAGTATAGGGCTGGTCTACAGAGACCACAAAGCTGTGACCCGAGCCACACAGAGTCTACACCTGTGATGAATAATGACTTGGGGCAAAGCTGCGTGAACCTGTCAACATAAGGGTTGTGCTTACAAGAAGCCTTCTTGTGTGGGAGTAATGGCTTTAAAATAAAGAGGGAAGATTCAGAGTAGATATAAGGAAGAAATTTTTTACGGTGAGGGAACTGAAACCTTGGCCCAGGTTGCCCAGAGTGGTGGTTGATGCCCCATCTGTGGGAACATTCAAGGTCAGGTTGGACGGGGCTCTGAGCAACCTGGTCTAGTTGAAGATGTCCCTGCTCATGGCAGGGGGGTTGGACTGGATGGCCTTTAAAGGTCCCTTCCCACCCAAACTATTCTATGACCTGCGCTCTGCAGAGCCCAGGTTCAGTGATAGTGAGGTGAGGCAGCTATCTACTTCAGCCTAATGACCGATCTCTTTTTTAGATGTAGGAGAAGCCCCACTAGGTACCATCTGCCTCAACCGTTATTTCCTTGATGACTATTTTTCTTCCTCTCCACTGCCTCTTTCACAGGACTGTAGCATAAATACTGCAGCCTGATAAATACTGCAGAGCAGGTTTCAGCTCTTGTGTCTTCTTAATGTTATTCCCTGCTACTTCGTTATACAGTTAGGAGAGAGTCGTGTCCCACGCTGATCTCAGATGATGAGAGTAGCTGTTGGTGCCATCTTTGCAGAGAGGGCGGCATGCCTGCTGGCGTTGCTGGGCTTTCCCCTAGTCGGTGGTGAAATGCAGGCAGTTGTGCCTTGAAGTTTCTTATCATCTCAATTGACATTTCTCTCTTTTTTTTACCATGTGACTTTGCACTAAGTCATTTAGGAATAATCTAAATGAAATTTTAATTTTAAGTTCTGATTTCTTTTGAAAAGCACATTATCTGGCGGATATGTTATGGTTCCAGTAAAAAACCCAAAAAACTATCATTTCGGGAGAGGCCTGGGTTCCATTATATCAAAACAGAAAATCTTGACTTCCCTGAGGGCAGCAGAGCGACATGCCAAATGTTATGTGCATTTGGAAATATCATAATGGAAACATTTTTCTGCTTTTCTTCTCTGTTTGAAATACTTCTGTTATGGATGGATTGCTAAATAAAAAAAAGGTTCCAGCAACACTGTAGAATTTTCATAATGATGTTTTAAACATACTTAATTCTCTTTATTTTTAATGTGCCCTGTTAGAAGACTGAGCATTATATGTAAGTTTTCAGTATAGAAGTAGGGTATGCTCTACTTCCCAACGTAACAGCCTATGAAAGAGAAACATAACTACACAGAGGGAGGGATATACTTTCCATTGGTCAGGCCTGAGACCCTCTTCTTCTCTCCCACCATAGTGCATGGCTGAAGGGATGCAGCCTGAGAGGGAACACTAGGCATTAGCTCCAGTCATTAAACCTACAGATCTCATTTGTTTTAAATAGAACATATAGGGAACCATCCGTCAGGGAGGTCAGAAAAGAGCTGTAATGTAGATTTATGCTTTTTATTTTATAGATGCTATGTGCTGTAATTTTTCCTTCATTAGCATACTCTAGTCAAAGAGAAATGTGGCACAAAGGTTATTCCCCCTCACTGAGGTAATAGGTTCATACACGAATGAAGGATCTTGTCCTTCTTTCTTAACCACGTACATTCCCTGTGACTCCCTGCTGCGCTTGCCAGTGTTGTAATCCTATTGCTCTTTTATCACTTTCAAAATTTCCTGTCTGATTTCTCTATTTGAGAGCATAAAACTTTTCTGCCCTAAAGAGTGAAGAAAGAAATTAGGGCTCTGCTTTACTCAAGTTTGTTAATGTTTTCAAAACAAGGTAGTGCTTACATGTGCGAGAGCAACAGACTATTGAATGATGGGGAGAGAGGCAATGTGAATCAGCTGCTCAAGTGCTATAAACTGAATAATTAGGAGTTATTCTGATCTGGCCAGCTTTTTTTTTTTTGTTTTGTTTTTTTTTTGTGCACTTACCCCTTCAATTAAGAATTCTTTATTGAATGCAAGCCAGCTATTTTAGAAGGAAAGAAGAGAGAGGAGCCTGAAAGATAATGGATCTTGATTATGCATCCAACACTTCAAACAGTCCTTAAACAAAATACTGTTGACTTTGCTGACAGCAGAAGCAAGTTTACATTCCTCTTCATGTGATACAGCTAATGCTAACTTTGAGAGACATGAATATAACCCAACTGAAATGTCAGCCATTAGTTCATGATACCCCTTCACACAGGTGAGCACCTTCATAGATGAACAGGAATTTTTGGAACGTGCACATTGAAAAATCAACAAAAACAAGACACAGCCTCAGCAAACAATAATTCTTTAAAGTGAATTGAATTAATTTCAGATCATAAATGAAGCAAAAATTTAAAAAAAGAATGAATACTGTTTTAAAATAAAGGAAGATTATACTTCTTCTTTCTGACACAGCTGGACAAAATCTGAGAGTTACTATTAGAATCCCTCTAACGAATCCTTGGAGGAAACCAACAACAAACCCAACCAAACCCAACCAAACCCAAGGGTGCTATGTTATACTCCTCAGTGCAGGCCTACATTGCTCATGTTACTTCACATGCACCATGCCTTTGGCAGGGCACCAGATGTTTGCCTCCAGCTGTATTTTGCTTTTGTACACACATTCTGAGCAACAACAAACTGAAAATTTAAAACATGTTCAAACTAAAAATATTTTGCAATGAGAAACAGCCTCAGCTACTGGACTTAAAGTACCTACTAATTCTAAATGTCAGATTTCCATATCTTAGCACGTTTTTGTTTTTCAGTAGACAGGATTGGCAGAAGTAAACACTCTTGCCTACAAGCTCTGCCATAAATGTGATCTATTGTGTTAAAATTCAAAGACGCAACTAATATGACCTAAATTTAATCCTAAACAGGGAAAATCTCTCTAAGAGTTTTAATAGTTGTTCTTCTATTTATTAATGTGAAGTACAATAAATGTAAAAGACCATCCAGATCCTTATTCATGTTTTAGAAGAGCTGTGTGTTTTTCCAAAGTTTTGAAGTGCTTCTTAACCAGTACCAAAGTCGTATCAATATACTTCAAAGAATGAGACAGAAAACTTGATATATTCACAAATTAATCTTCCTGCATTTATGTAACATGTAGGAGATAAATACACATAAACACAGCTCTACTTGTCTTCCAAATGTTTCAGGGAAGCAGCTGACTATTTGCTTTTAGTTTTGGTCCAAGACCTCTTTGCATTGAATCAAATTGCAGCGTTGCAAAATTTTGATGTAGTTTGTCTATCTCAAAAGCTGTATGAGTTTTATCAATTGAGAAAAAAAGCCCCTTCAAAAATATAAAAAGAATTAAAAAATATCATAAGTTTAAATTGTCAAACTGTAGGTAATTAAAAAAAAAAATCATTTGCAGGAATCAATACTTTACAAATTTTAATATATTTCCCATGTAAAATGCAGACTATTAGGCTGTAGATACCTTGTGCTGTCAGAGATTATTTCAACCTAAACCTTCCAGGAGAATGGTAATGTGAAGTACATTGGATAAATTATGTAACTTAAACATGTCAAATGTGTTCATTGCAAAGCCACAGGTACTGGTCCTTAAGACGAGAAAAGGTCCTTAAAACTGTAATGTCAAATCAGTAATTTGTCATTACCTTGTAAAACTGAAATAAAGGTTACAAATACTTATCTATTCTGTAATACTGTGGGGTTTACCTAGGGTATTCTGGATCCATTTTTTAATTAAAAATACACCAGAATTAAAAAAATGTAAGGAACATCAAAGAGTACTGTACAATTATACCACTATGTAACAATATGTATAAATACTTGGCAGTAAAGCTTCAGTAGAGAGTGATCTACAATGAAAAAGTTAATATTTAGTTTGACACAAAGTTTGCAAGAGCAGACGTATCCTCTCTGGGTGCCATTCTTCCGCTCCACGCCAGTGGGCATTGCAGGCCAGGCAGGACCTTTTTTGGCTCCCCCTCAATGCCTTTAACTCTCCCAGTCACTCCTCGGACGCGCGTTTCTAACAGAAATCCTCCCAGTGAACTGCGCGTACTGCAAGCCTTAACCTCGTTACTGGTGAATGTCCTCATGCCTGATGATTTTGTAAATTACCCAATAAAAAATATTGAAAATCAGAAAGGCTAATGGGAAACAAGCTCTGGATATCGTGTCTATCTTCTTGGCCCGGTCAATAAATACCTTTCGCATCTCATCAGGGCTTTTTGGTGCAGCTTGAACAGGATTGTTTGGCCCCTTTTGTGTCACTCCGTCTTTTGCCTGCAGACATGGGCTCACTCCATATGCTGTAAAACTGAACTGGCTTTCCCTTATGTCATCATCCTGTTGAAAAAAGAAAAAAAAAAAAGAAAGAAAAAAGCAAGAAGGTTGTTTTCTTTACAGAAATCTTACCAGCCGCTAAATAGCAGGCTTTGCACTTTTACCTCAGCAACTTCTGAATCCACAGTTTATCTTAACCGGTTGAAATTTCAGCCCTATCAGTGTCTGACAAAAATATTGCAGCAGCTTTAACAAGCACAGAATTTTCCTATTGGTTTATAGATTCTGTAACCTCTTTAAAAAAAAAGAGAAAGCTTACTAAACTAGTGGTAATCACGCACACAACTTCTGATTTGGTTTGATTTTCTCCATTTACAGTAAATATCCGCAGTCTTCACCTGGGCAAACTTCACACTGCTCTTTTAGTCAACAACCATTAATTCTACACGTTGCTTAACAGAATGGGATCCCAGCCTCTAGAGGTACTCACACAAGCACTAACGATGTTCATATTAATTATCTCGGTGGGAATTCTGCCTATTTGGTCATAGTATATATAGTTAATCTTATCTATATGACTTATTTCTGCTGTCCCCTGTGAATGCATCAGATAAAGAGAATAGTACGTAAAGTGTCTTAGTTTAAAATAAAGTGAATGAAAGCTAAAGGGCAGATTTGTTTCCTGACTCATTCTTCTGCCAATTCAGGAGAAAACTGGCAAAAACATTGTGAATTCAGGGAGCAATGAGACAAAGTGGGTTTTAATCACATGGCACAGAAACAAAAGTTGGTGGTCTAAAGATATATATATATATAATTTATAACATGCATTTCAAGAATGTGTCTGGAGACACATTTTGTACAAATGCAGGCACATAAATGATACATAGACTGTGAAGTCAGGGCCAAATTTCATTCCGAAATATATTCCTGTGTATTCCTTCACTATGTCAGGTACTCACAGATAGTTGTGTGATTTTGATGGTGTTCACAATTTGTTAATACTGATTTTAAATTTAGGATTTCCCACTTTTCATGTCTAATTTAGCCTAGCTGCTTTAGGATTCTAGACTTTTATGACACATGACAAAGTATTCTCTATATTTTATTTCTTAAATAAATATTTTGGAAAATAATTTCTGAAAGTATTAAAAAAATTCAGCAGCAGTCAATTTTCCTTTTTTAAGAATTTTTGACATTTTGAACATCTTCGTAACTTAAATTAAAATAAAAGGATAAAAAAATTAATTTACCAAAGTAAATCAAATAATTAGTGTTTCAGTTCAGTTATTCTGAAGTATTTTTGTTTTACTTAAACCTCTTAATTTGTACAAATGTAATTTCTCAATTAACACAGTTTATATCCAAACTTCCTAATTTTTCATTTTGAAGATGCCTGCGACATTTGGAAAATCTGAAAATGTTTTGGAAGGGAGAACTAATTCTAAACGTACTTAAAGTTTTGATAAAGCAGTACTTGCTAGAGGAACCATTGTTAATTAGTTTGTTTAAAAAAAATCCAATTATATTTATTGTCAATATAAGTTGAATAAGTTATCTACAAAAGAATGCAGCTCAGTTACTATGTTTGAAGTGAAGTGGTGGCAATCGGCACAAGCATCCAGAAGAGCTGTAGTTATCACCCAACTCCAATACTTTTTCAATTATGTAAATTTAATAAACTTATAGACAATAGAGTTCACTGAAACCACTATTGGAATTCTTCTATAAAAACAAAAAATAAAGAAAAATTAACATGAAAGAAAAGGAGGAGGAAAAATCGCTGACTGGTTTCAATATGGAAATGAGTAACAGAAATACAAAATGGTAGGATCACTATTTGATGACGTGATAAAACAAAGATCTAATTACTACAATAGCGTTCCTCTCCTGCCAGAAAAGAATGGGAAATAGCATCTTCATAGTCGTATTCCAGAAGAGTTGTAGTGTTGCATTGCCACTAACAGAAGTTACAAATGTGTGGACTGTGAGAATTTACACCAAACTTGCCATTTCAGTGCTTTCATACGCGCAGTTCAGGGTTTAAATCTTTTCATGCTTCTCCAGAAAATCATGCTTATGATAGAAAGATAATAAAATAATTCCTCTGCGTAGCAGCTTTCAGCTGGGTATGTTTCCAGGATGAGACACCACATCCTAAGACTTCACTGCCTGTGCTCTGTGCTTACCCAGATCGAGCGATCCTCTAGAATGGTTCTAGAGGCCACGTCTCTGCTTATTGTTTTTCCAGTTTGCAGCCATCCTGAATTTAGTCCGCCAGCAGGCTGCTTGGAAATGCTCCCTGTTGTTGAGGAAGTGATGTGAAGGTCCTTCTAGGAGTCTAACCCTTCTGCCCAGTGCCCGGTGCCTCCACGAGGGTGGGTGGGATGGTCGGAGCCCGCCCAGTCAGCCCACCCTGCTGGGGCTGTGGACGTGTGGGAAAGGGCACCTTCTGGAGCATTCTAACGTGCCAGGTACCACCAGACTTTTTTTTTTTTTTTTCTGGAGTACCCATTAGAGTATCCAAAATGTGGTTCTGGAAGATTTCCAGCAGGTTCATAATGCAGAAAAATGATTAATTTGGCCTCAGGTTCGTACCTGAGGGTGCTTGTGCACAGCAGGAGAGACGTAGGTACTGTTACCGTTGGTAGTAACTTTTGAGTGCTTTTTCGAAAGCACTTTTATAAAATGTCAATGATGCCCCATTTGTTTTTATGGAGTGACTTGGCTATGGTCCCTCTTTCTGACTGGAAATATTTCTCATAATGCACGTGTCTGAGTCCACAGCTCTTGAAATCATCTTATGGCAGTACCCTGTATGTCCGGGGAGAAGCTGGACAGTGAATCTTCCTGAAAAAGTCCTGCACTTTGGTTGAATTTAAAAAAAAAAATGTAGTAAGGAAGCTTTTTTTTTTTTTGTCTTTTGTGTATTTGCTTAGTGCATCATCACTGTAGAGAAGAAGATGAATGATTTCTTACTGATTTTCGATACAGCTTTTAAAATCTTACTATGAATGAACTTTAATAAAGGTTGGATATGAGTGCGCTTTTCACACATACGGCTTTGGAAGTAGCAATTTTAAAGTTATTCTGCATACAGTGACATATAAATATTTTATCATCTGTATTAGAATTGCTGTAGTTAAAGAATGGAAATAAATTTATATAACAATTTATATTTAGAAAGTTAGAATTCTTTGGAGGCCTGAAGGAAATAATTTCAGTTAGTTTATTTCGTATTTTGTTTTACAAAATGCTTAGCTGTAAAGTACTAGAAAGCTGTCAGTTTCTGTGGCCCTGTGAATATGCTCTTTTCTGTCTGTATGTTTAATTATACATTTCTCTTGGGGAGACATACGCATAAGGGCTGAAAATATCTCTATAGCCTTTTGCCTGTAGGTTGTGGTAACAGCTTGAAGACTTATTTGAAGCCTTCGCTTTGATTATTTGAACACTATATTTTTTACTGTTCATTCTTGAGAAGAAGTGTGTTATTGAATTGTTTTGCACGACAAACAGCTTGGTTTTAAAAGCTGATCTGATAGCCACAGGTTTCTGCTTGAAATGATGTCACTGTTCCTTTGAAGTTGCAGAAAGTAAAATTTTAATACTATGTTTTAATCCAGATTTAAACAGATCAAAATGGATTAGCAAATTAATAAAACAGGTACCTTTAGCAACATTTCACGTCATCACATACAGGTAGCAATGAAGGAATATGGAGTTCACATGGGAAGACATTATTTCAGACAAAAGGACAGGGCCTCTGTTAATGATTGGATATCACATTATGACAAATGGGACATCTTCTTCATAGTTTACCCTTAAATTTGTACTGTAGATTTGAGGCAAAGTCCCGTCTATAGGTCCTGTACATCTCAAGCCATTGCTATGCTGCAATGATTCACTGATTTCATTTCCATCAAGAACTCCCTCAAAATACTTTCATCAAAACGGATGGGTGGACCAAAAAGAAAACAAAAGAAAAGAGGCGTGATTACCATTAAAGACAATCTAGTTTGCATGTCTATTTTCCTCACTAAAGATACGGTGATCTTTAGATTTTTGAAAATAGAATTACAAGATTGACTATTCCTGAAAACTGAATATATTAAAACCTAATCTGAAATGAGTGTTATTCGGTATATGTACACAGTTAATGTTTTTCCCCTCACAGTGTAAGTGCAACTGAGAAAAAGCCCTGGTGGTACCTATGTTTCAGTATCTCTGTATGACTTTTAGTTCTGCCATTTTTGTCCTTTTGTCGTTCAAGACCAAAAGGAGTGTAACTGTAAGTGAATAATTAATATCTGTTCATTCTGAAGAAACATTTCCATCATATTAATAATATAATATTTGTGAAATAGTTGTGTTCATTGGCCAGATTTCTTCCTCTGACAGAGGCAACGCGCTATGGATCATACACTGACCACCAAATGAAGTCTCAAATTGGGAACCAAAATTTGTCTGTTCTCAAGATTCGTTATGCCGTTTGTGTAATCACAAAGAAATGAGACCCTTTTTCAAAAATCTCCTCTACCTATTGTGAAGGCTGTTGGAAAACAGCAAAGGGTAGCTTGCATATTATATTGCAATAACAGTGCTTATTTATAAATGTGCTTATAACACAATCTCGGACAGGTTGACATTTTTGTTAATTCCGTGCAAATTGGATTGGGCCTCTGAAAAGAAATTTGCCTTTCAGTTCTTTGGAATCACTGCATAAGGTCCGTAGTTACAACCATAAAAACGGTAGCCAGAGGGTGCAGTTATACCTAAGAATCGCCTTTGGTGCTGCTGGTACTGCTGTCTGGGAAGGGAGGCTGCACATGGGCTAAGGGGTGTAAGGAGGCGGCAGTGACTGTAGGTGGAAAAAGCAGAAGGAAAATGGCAAGGACAGATGAGCTTTGGATGCCAAAATGTCTTGATAGAGCTCTGTACATAATTACATTTTGTATAACTGTATAATTTTCCACAAATCTCAACAGGTCTTATTTTGTTTGCTATACTTGTTTACTGCGGGGGTTTTACCCGAGTTCGATCATATGCTTTTTAAGAGAGAGATTTCAGTTCTCCTGTGTTTTGAATCAGCATTGAGAAGGAACAACACACAGTTTTGATTAAATTCACAGAAGACTCCAACCTGGAAAAACCTGCAAATTTCTTTGAGGATATGTTTAGAGTTAAAATTGAATTCAATGATTTGGAGTCTGAAAAATACCAGAGGAGAGTTGATAGGTGCGAATACAAGGTACTACATTTAGCCAGGAGTAATCAGCTTTGTCAACAGAAGGTGGGAAGTGAATGGCTCTGCAGCAGCTCTGGAAAAAGACCTGGGAGTTTTGGAAGGTCCCAACCTTGCTATGGGTCAATACCATGACGCTGGGGAAAAGGAAAATGTCAAACGGGTTTGGATAAACGAGTGTATGACTTACATGATGTGATCCTTCCACTGCTCTCAGCAGCTACTGCCTGGGCTTCATGTTGCAAACACAGCGTTGAGGAATTAGATGGACTTATGAGGAGAATTTCCAGGGAAGGAGAATCAGAATGAGCCAAAAAAAAAAAAAAAAAGAAAAAGAAAAAGGACTGTACCAACTAGGACTGTACCAACTAGGAATATTTAAAGAAAAGAAAACCCAATGGAAATGTGCAAATGCTACATAAAGGAATGAAGCAGTGTGTTCTCTGGGTCCCTTCTAGACAAGCCGTGAGAGGCAAACAAAGGCGTGAGTAAAAAACTTTCTAAATCATAGATTGCAGGGGAGCTTGTGGGTTTTTTATGGCTGGGATGAATTAGGTATAACTGATCATGATTTAGGTCAGGAAAACTGATTCACTGACCTCCCAGGGGCATACCGACACTGAAATTCAATCGTCTGACTGTTGCTAGGGTTACTTGGTAAGAGTAAATATTTCTTGCAACGAGCACGTCTTTTTAATTACAGAGAAAATAAACTTTGGAAATTCTTCAGCTGCCCTATTGCAATTAGGTATTATTCGTACATGTTCCCTTCTGTCAACATATACGTGAAATGAAACATTTCCAAACCCATCTATTTTTGGACATTTGCAACACAGTTGAATCACTCGGAATTTTGCTCTACCCTTGCAAATAAAATGCCAGTGCCAAAACATTCTGGGTTCATCATCTGGAATTCACCTGGTAGGAAAACCTTATCCTAGTAAAATGTCCCAAGATGGTAAACATATAGGATGAAAAAGTCTAAGAACTTATCCTAAATTCTCTATTTCTCTAATCCATTTGGACATAAATACTGACTATAATAGCAGTTTTCACTTTGAAAAAACATAGGATTTAATGTTCACAGAAACCCCTGAAGTTTATTTTAAACGCAGCCTTTTAACCTAACTTCTTTTCATGTCTTTTGACTTTGCGGTCAAATGAGCTTTTCTTTATACATTGTAGTTTTAAAAGTTAACTCAATCTAATCCTCGAGAGCCAGTGGCTGTTTGACCCGGTCCAAAGGGATCACAAACAGATACAGAACTTTATAATCATGAGCTACAGTAACCGACTTTGAAAAATACAAAAGAGGAAGGAAACAAATATTAATTTGCCTTCTGATCCTGAGGACTGCATTTCATGTTAGAAATTGTGGTGAATAAATAATAACAGTTGTGGTAAGGAAGGCTAGTTATTAACTGCTTTCTTTAATCCCTAAGACATCATTTATTATTTGTATACCGGAGGGCTTAGGATGCGATCCAAATTTTTTGAAGAGATAAAATCTCCATGCTGTAACATTTCAAGTTCTAATATACTTCTTGGGCAAGGAATGGTTTAATAAAACACTGAGAAAAAGAGAAGCAATTAGCTGAGCTGCCTCTACAGCTCGAGAAGGTGTATCCTGAAAGGTTAACTCTGGCCAGGAGCTCCAGCTCTACACAGAACTGGAGTCAGTCAAGAAATGTTCAGCTAAATTAATCTTTTCAGCAAAATGTCTATTTGTCAAAATCATAACCTTCTACAGGAACAAAGCAGTTTTTGCTAAATTTAGGCTGAGAAACCTGTCTCATGGTGAAATCCGCAGATACAGGGAGGAAGGGAAAGCCATATACCCCCAAATACAGTTAATAGCCACCCCTGGGTATGTTATGAGGAAAAGCATTGAAATGCATGTCTTCATCCTTCAGAATCTAAAGGGAGTACTCAATACTTTACTATAGACCCAGCAGCCTCTAATCCTCTAATTTTATGAGAACCTCTCAGACAACCTACTCGAAGCTAGAAGATTGTCTGATGAAGTGTAGAATTAGAATAAGGACTTTTAAGTGTCAATTCAAAAATATCACGATGTCAAGCACTGACCCAGCGAAACAGTGAAGTCAACGAGACTATTCATGCGCACGCTTTTTTGGGAAGTGGCCTTCTCTTAGAAGTGCTTTGCATACCGCAGATCCTTCTTCGCATATCTCTAAGCTGCAATTTGATTGATGGTGATTGCTGAAGAAGTGTGTTTGGTGAGCTTGAAGTCTTGCTAAGAGGGGGCTGGGAAGATATGTGGTTTGTTTCTGAGGAGGGAAGGTAATATTACCTGCCAGTTTCTAACCCTGCGATTACAATAATTGACGTGTATTTAAGGAAGTGAAAAGACATCACTAAAGTTGATTATGGTAAATTTGCCTGCAATCCAGAAGACACTGTAATACACGGTGAAAAAAAAGGAATGGACTAAAAGTATAATCGCATACTCCATCACTCAGCACAGCTGTTTGTGTTTGATACATGACGCATTTGTTGTGGCTCACCTGCCCCCCGTGCAGTAATCCATCTCTGCCTGGCCCATTTCCCCCATTCCAAACCTTTAAGCAGCTTTCCGGGAGCTGCTGTATTTCAAAAACAACCCCCCATCACAAAAATGCTGCTTTCCTCATGTGTGACTCAGAAAACGCTTTTTCTGCTACTGTCGGAGAGAAGAAAAAGTGCTTTTCACAGGGAAGAAAGTTGAAAGCAGGTACCCGCAGCCGGAATCATCCTCCAGCTACAGCGCTCGAGTTTCCCTCTGCACCCGAAAAACCTCGGACTCGCCCCACAGGAACACCAACTGTATGAAAATGTCATTTTAATTTGAGTGTCCAGCCTGCCTTTTGACGTGGCAAAAACTGCTTAGGTAGGCTTTGCACCACTCCAGATTTTCAATGTCTTCTAAGTAAAAGGGAAACAACCCGTAAACCGCCTTCTCCTCGTGATGTAAGCGGTAAACTGGGGTCAGTCTCCAGGATTGAAGGAGGGCTGAACTGGGTCATGTTGCTGCGGTCAGACTGTCATCCCCAGTAATATTCTAGACAGTGACGGAAAGGCAGCGGGAAGGCTCTGCGTGACAGCAGTGGTGGGTACTCAGTTAATGACTAGGCTGGAGGAATATTTGCTCTTTGAAAAATCAGAAGTAGGAGTTACATACTGTTGTAAAAAATTCTGCTTATTGCTTGATTTAACCGCAGACTTCAGAATTTAAACCTGTAGCCTTAGCTGCTTGACTTTGCACCTTGGTAGGGACTTGTTTTACCTTAGTCTAGATAGCTCCAGTTATAAAGTAAATATTAATAACCATTGCTGTATTAAAGGTTCTTACCAATTGTATGAACAATTCAGCATAAATTAACATCACAGAAGGAAAAAAAAAACCTTCTCAGCCTTTTAAAGTAAAATGTTTGTTCTTACACCAATAATAATAATTGAAAAAGTATTTTTTTTGTGTTAAAAAATATTCACCTGAAACACAGCTGTTAAGGCTTTGAATGAAATACTAGAATGAAATGAAGAAACGCTATTTCTTGAACCTCAATGCAGCACAGACTGCTGCGAGTACCGGTAACATTCATCCACTGAAGTATAATCTGACTCTTCTAACAGAGTGAAATTCATGCCTGTGCAGATGGCTCCCACATGACCCGTGCCTCATTTAAATCTCTCTTAATCCCTCTTTCGAGAATTCAAGTTGGATTTATGCAGTGCACAGTCCTTGTAGTGACCCTCTGCCTCTAGCGAGTTTCATTCTGTGCTGCCATGTTATTTGTATTTAAGCTGCAGTATGTTTACCAAATTAACCCTATATCCTGGCATAAATCAATCTCAGACTCTTTCAAAGTTGTGACCAGCGTTACTTTTACCTTGTTCTTCTTCCTCTTGCGGCGGAATCGCAGCAGTTCTTTATGCTGCCTCGACACAAAGTTTACAGCTGCGTACTCCAAAAGCGCAGAAAATACAAAAAGCAGACACACAGCCATCCAGATGTCAATCGCTTTGACATATGACACCTATGGGGAGAATGGAGCAGCAGAACGAACACGTTAAAACCACAGATGTGAAGTTTAGTATTTCACGTCAGGAGGAAGTGCATTAGTATCTTGCCGTCCCAACGCTACTTTTATCAAACAAAACTTAACATGAAGTGTGGATAATAAGAGGAAAAACAACTCAATCTATAAACATTAAATATTATCTTTAAAGATGTAGTCTTTCACAAAATATGTTTACTGTTTGTCATAAAGGGTTCCTTGTCGTGTGCTGTGTATTTTACCACTGAGATCTGCGAACGGTACTAAGGAGTCAGAGGACAGCTTATAGTGGGACCAGTGGGAATTCCTGTATTATAATGGATCTGATTTAAAGTTCCTGGAATATAAATTAGTTAGAGGAAAGGAGATAGATGGAGAACTCTGATATGTTCATTCTTTGCTAATATAGGTATGGTAAATCAAAGATGTACGTTCAGATCAGTCCTATAATTTTGACACGGTGGAAGTACTGATAATCAGTTCCAGAGTAGATGAACTCACTGCGATCCTTTATTGCCAAGCTGAGCTGCGGGACTTAATCTGGACTAGGAAAGTAGGGCCTGTTCCCTCTCTGCACGCAGATTTACAAGAGCTTTGTCACACAAACCAACGTAGCCAGCTTCAGGCCTCAAAAATCTGACAAAAACCCATCTGTAGCTCTCCTTGCTAACCTCTTACATCCTTGCTTCTCTGAGTTTTTTAGCATTCCATTTTCTTGTCTGGTGATGTTACATTCAGATGCATTCAGATCCAGATATTTGAGGTGCAAAACACGGTCACCTCTTTCAGGGGTATCTGTTTTACTCAGAAAAAAACTTAATTAGCCAACTTAAAAATACCGTGTTAAAACTAATACAGAGTGGACTTTGTGTATTTTTGTCATATACATTTTACTTCTAACTGCAATGGCACATGAAGATGGTCAAGGAATAACCCTTACAATGAAAAAGAAAATGTTCAAAGCAATCACAAGTCAGAAATCTGAAATAGTTAACCGCTGAAAAATGCCTTAAGCTATTTACATTGTGTAGTGAACCATTCTTTATACATTTGTTTGGGGCTATTTAACTTCAGATTTTTCTACAATTTAATGTAAATGTGTTTGTAACTAGTGAGTAAACTCATCACGTAGGCAGGTTTTGGGAAAGGAATGTCATTGAGAACAGGTTGGAATCTACGACTTTTAGAAATTCAGTTATATCTGCTAACGTGTCATCAGGCACTGGGGTCTGGAAGAGGACGAGCCAGTCGATTGCTAAGCAGCATTTATGTAGTACTGAATAACACGGCTTTCATCACTAACTGCGGTTTATGGAATTTAGTAGATATGTGGTTGGCTAAATAGTTGAGAAAGGAGAGAAATGGAATATAATTGATTGGTGACTCAAAAAAACTCCCCAAATATTTCCGAGTTATTTACCTCTTTTAGAAGGCGCTTGCATGCTAATAATTAAAATGCATACTATAAGGTTGACTGAAGGTGCTTATTTGTCACACAGCATTATGACTTTGCACTAATGTGGCACAAGCAAAGGAAGTTCTGCCTACCTTTGGAAGAGACGCTCGTGAACCTGAGCTTTGCGTTGTCATGGTCAGTACTGTCGTTATGCCTAAAGCCACTCGGGCTGGAGCTGCATCCATATTGATCCAAAATGATACCCAGGAGAGAATGACGATCAAGAGACTCGGTATGTACATCTGGATGAGATAGTAACCCATCTGCCTCTCAAGGTGAAATCGCACTTCAATACATGTAAACTTTCCTTTTGGTAACAAAGAAGAAATATTTAATAGAAATAAAATGTTCTTTACTGTCAACATCTAGTGCAGCCTCTACAGAATTTACACTCTGTCAAAGATATTTGTTATCTAATGAAAGATGAATGCTTGATTTCTCTTCCGTGATTTTTAACACGTGCAGTCCCCATTGTAGCAGGAAAATCTACTGGAAAGAAAGTGTTCAGAAAAACTGAAAACATAGGAATTCTATAACCTCTTGACCTCTTCTTTCCGTATGAAAACAAAAAAATGGCCGAAACACAAATAATTATGACATAGGAAAGTTCCTCTGTGCAATCACACTTGTTACCCTGCTTACTGTTTGGAAATACTGCAGTATGCAAAGAAAAGGCTTGCTCTCCCGTTGTATAAAATCTCCTTTATCTTTAGGTTCAATTTTAAGCTTAAACTCATATTTTTTGAATCCAATGACTTTAGGGAAACTATAGTAAGATCAATGTGGGATATCAACAGGAGATTCTTCTAAATCTCTCCCTTTAGCCCCGTTCAAACTGTTGCAACTCAAAAATACAATGAACGAGATGCAAACAGAAATCAAGGACTTGAGACTACCCAACTTTAGGAAGCTGATTAAACGGCCCAATTTTTCCAGATACTGAACATCAAGCAACTTCCACTAATTTAACAAAACCAGAAAAAAAAACCCTATTGTTTGCTCGTAAATATGCCATAAAACTATTTTTTTCTCTTGTCCAGATTGATTTTTTACCCAGGAAACTGTAGATTATTTCATAGATCTTGACCTGTTCTCATTACATTTTCTAATTCTGCTCAATGCTCATCTTAGTCACGTGTGAATGGTGCTGAAGGCAATGCTCTTACTATAAATAGTGGATACGTGAAACAGTTTTTTACAGTAAGAAATATACAGATTTCTCCCTTATTTGAATGAAAGTATTTCCTAATTCTAAATTTAACACGGAACGCTCTATAGTTATTTATTTCTTAAGTGGTATGAAGTTTTTGGTTGTGTTTTCCAGTAGGTTTTGATAGAAATTTTTCTAACGTATTTTTATTTGACAAAATTCCATTTTATAGCAATTTGTTCCACATTAATAGTGCTTTAATATTTACCATATTAAAAAAAATGTAATGGACTTATTTATGAGATTATCTTATACTAATTTAGTATATTGTGTGTTGTGGCGTGATAATAATGTTAGGCATAGAGAAATGAGTTTCAGATAAAGTCAAACTGTAATGTTTTTATTCTGGGAATATTAAGTGCTTGGAAGTATCTTCTGAACTTCATTGTTTTCATAATAATTCTCTTAACAGTCCATTAGTTCTTTCTATGATGTGATAGTAAATGTGATTGTATGAAATTTTAATTCTGCTGAGGAACTAAAAAAAACATACTTAGAAAGAGAGTAGTTATGATGTTCAATATTAAAATGACATGATATATCTCAGGAGTTTTAGGTCTGCTGGCTCAGTTATTAGTTCCGTTCCTAATTGCCGGTGTTTTCTGAATCCTATCTACACTGCTGAAATCTGTGTCCCAAATCCTGGCTCAGCCATCTGCTGCCCCAGCTTCAAAACTGATTTCTGCTTCAATCAAGGAATTAAGTCCCGGTTTAACAAAGTGAATGGGAATTGTGGTGTCTCCTTGAGAAAAGCCCAGGATTTGCCCCCATGGTTCTCTTCCAGCATCTTGAAAAGGATATCTACGTGAAACATTCTTTTACTTAGCAGTTCAGCACGCCGCACATCGCTAGAAGTTCTGCACTGACTGGCCTTTGTCAGAGTCGTATTCTTACTTCAAGCTGGTCCTTACCCTGGAGATTTCTGTTTCGTGACATTTGCTCTGTTAATTCAGCAGCCGTGGACTGCAGCGCGCTCTCTCTCACCCATCACAGCAAATTGCTGTGGTAAGGACCGACAGAACCGCACCAACCAAACCTACGGCTCTTGCAAAGACATTCTATTTGGCAACATTTTCTTCTTATAGGCTCCTGTATTCTTCTTTCAAAACAAATTACGAAGAAAATCTAAGGAGTATCAGAATGGGTAATATATGCATAACACAGTGTCAATAAACATTGGCTATTTCTTGTTCTTTTTTTCTCCAGAGAAAGGTAGGATAAAAGTTTTGATTCTCTTTCTCGAGTGCTCAAGTGGGCTTGAAGTATTACAGAGATGTCAGCACAAAAATACTGTGGTCCTAAACAAGGAGCAATAAATAATATATTAGTTCTGATGTGGATTATTTTTATGTAGTTGCAAGTTTGCCAGGTTTGGCTGAACTAAGGAGAAAGAGAGGAATAGCTGTGGACAACGGAACCCTAGCAAAATGAAAGAGGTTCTGAACGAAAGGAGTGCAAATGGAATATATTGCAACCGCAGAAAAAGAGAGAAAAGAGATGGGATTATGAAGACTCCAGAACTAGGACTGTGTGGTGTGTTAGAGGAATTTTACTGAATGATTTTGGTGCTTGGTAATTGTGTTTTTGTAAACACCATTGGCCAAAGTAAAAAACACAAAACAAAACCAACCAAAAACCCAACTGAAAGAAAACCCAACCTGAACACCTCCCCACCCCCCCACCCCCCCAGTCTTTGCTTGGGTGCTGACCTCCTGGAAAGCAGCTCTGTGGAAAGGGTCCTGGGATCCCTGGTGGACAACAGGACGGCCATGAGGCAGCAATGTGCCCTGGTGGCCAAGAAGGCCAATGGCATCCTGGGGGGCATCAAGAAGAGTGTGGCCAGCAGGTGGAGGGA